CATATCTACTACAGACTACAAAAAGACAATGCAACTGTTGACATCAGCGGCAGCCCGAAGTACTTGAAGATGTCGCCCATGCAGACCATCGCCAATACAAGGTACGTGCCCTCATATCATCATCATCATCATCATCCTTCACTTATCCCTTGACTTCACCCACACCTATCCTCTCCTTCACTCGAAGACCACCCCTGCGCCTCACTGTAGTCCAAGCCCACCAACTATGGTGGCTGGGCTATGGCGCTGCCCTCAGCAGTGCCCTCCTCCTCTGCACGACCGCACGTGCTGCACCTCGCCTCTCAGCGCTAGCAGCAGCCTACGAGCATGAGCTTCAGCAACGCTGCCGCCAGCATGCGAGTGCCTGAATGAGGCAGCCAGGTCAGAGCTCTTTCCTTTATGGAAAGAGTTGGCCTGCTCACGCAGCCTGGCTGCCTTGGCCTGGGCCCAGAAGCTTCCGGAAGGCACCAGGAGGCTGCCTGGATGCAGCAGCTACTGGGCTGCTGGGCCTCGTTCGGTTGGRCGCCCAACTGTCTCTGTATGAGGCTGCGAATCACGCCCAGGGCGGACATTCCTTGGAAAGGCCCGGTAGGCCGTAGAAATGTCTTTGTTGCTCGGCCTGTGTTTCTTTCAACCAACTGGCGCGTCGCAACTGCCTGGACCCCAAATATGAAATTGACAGTCGAGGGCCTCTTGCAAAAAGCCAGGCCCGCCTTGACTTAGGGCGCGCACCTCCGCCTTCACTTAGGGTGGGTAAGGCTGCAAACAAGGCCCCATAGGCCTACCGAGGACCCTGATCCTCGCATTCCCTCCTCCTTAACTTTGTGAGTCCTCTGAGAAGTCTCTTATTCTGCAGGCATCTTCCCCTTGAGTGCTCTTTCATAGCATGTGATTACTTGAGGTGCGGTTCTCATGAGTTCTTCTTGTGTGAACCACCGATCTTCTTTCGGATCCAGATGATGTCTGAAGCTCACACGATACTGCATTCTCGGCTTAGGAGGTCGCCCTCTGCCTGATGGTCGAGGTACAGGCATTACTCGATGCTCGACGATCTGGTCATGTCCATTTCGCCATCCATGGTTGGGGGCATCATTGATCTTCTGGAAGGGAACTGCTCAGTAGCAGCATAGGGTGCTAACTTAGGGGCATGAAACACAGGGTAGGTAGGCAAGTGAGGTGGGATGCGGATTACATATGAAGGACCGTCTGGTTGATCTCCTACAATCTCTAAGATCTCCTAGGGCCCAAAGAACTGTGGCATTAACTTGCGGGATATGCCCAACTCCTGACCAAGCTCAACAGCCTTAATCCAGACTCTCTCGCCTACCTGAAAGTTAGAGGGTCGTCTATGTTTATTCTCAGATGCAATCATTGCCTCTTGAGACTTCCTGATGTGTTCAACGACCTTCTGCAGCATCTGTTCGTACTTGACAACAAACTCTATGTTGTCGGGTGCTGCAGTGGGTTCTCTTTCTGGTAGCAGAAAGTCTAAGGCGGTTTGGGGCTTCCAACCAAGATGCAGTTGGTTGAGAGTCATGCCAGTAGTACTATGCACAACATTGTTGTACAGGCTGGTAACGAGAGGTAGTTTCTCGTCCCAGTCGTCCTGACTTGGCTTGATATAATGCCTAAACAACTGCTGTACTACTCGGTTCATTTGTTCTGCTTGCCCATTTGACTCATGATGATTTCCTGAAGTCATTTGGAGTTTTGTGCCCATTTTTCAGCAGTAGACTGCCATAGTTCACTTGTGAATCTGACATCCCTATCACTAACAATAGACGTAGGTAGACCGAAGTCTCTTACCCAGTTATCCATGAAAAGTTTGATGACAAAGTCAGTTTTAGCAGTTTCAGGCATAGCGATCAATCTGGCGTACTTGGTGAAACGGTCCACTATGACAAAGATGTGTCTCTTTCCTATCCTGCCGGTTACAAGGGTATCCATGAAATCCATGGACACACTCTAGCCTGGTCCTTCAGGGATCAGCAAGGGTTTGATTAACCCAAGCGGAACCTGAGTCTTTGGTTTATCCCTTTGACAAACCTGGCAGGTTTCAACATAACGTTTTGCATCTTCTAACATAGAAGGTCACCAAAATCTTTGCATATGGCCAAAATGACCAATCGCTGATGTCTTTCTATAGCCAAAATGACCAGTTGCATCATGACATTCTCCTAAAAATAAACTACGCAGAGACTCACTATTTGCAACGCATAGTCTTTTATTCCCTGCCTTCTTAAGGAACAGCAAGCCATCTACCATCGTAAATTCATCCAAAGTTTTCTTGTCCTTTGCTTGGAATCTATAAATGATTTCTGACATGACTGGTCTCCCAGATAGACTTCCACCATCGATCGAGTGAGTTCGTCAGATATGCCAAACTCGGTAACTAGCGCGCCCAAATAATCTGCCCTTCTTGATAGTGAATCAACCACCTTGTTGTACGTACCCTTCATAGGATCCAGTTGATAGTCATTCATGTCTATCACTTGAATCCATCTCTCGAGTGCGTCTGACAACACGGGTTGTGTCTTAATCCAGCGCAAAGTCTCATGGTCAGACCTCACATAGAAGAATCTTCCTAGGAGGTAGTGTCTCCAATGGACTAGCGTTCTATATAGGGCGTAGAGCTCTCTCTCTAATACGTGGACTTAGCTTACTTTTGAGATGGTATCTTCTTGCTCATATACTCGATCGGTCTCAACTTGGGCCCTTCCTGTTGCGCAAGGACCTCGCCTATGCCATATTGGCTGGCGTCTGTGGTCACAACAAATGGTTTGTCAGGATCAGGAAGTTTGAGAACTTCATAGTGTGTTAGGGAATACTTCAATTTCTTGAAGCTTGCCTCACACTCTTCAGTCCACTCCCAAGGGGTGTCAAGTCGAGTTAGATCTGTTAGTGGGGAAGCTATAGTACTATAGTTCTTCACAAACGGACGATAATAGTCCGTCATCCCCAAAAACGATCTGACCTCAGTAATAGTCTGAGGTCTAGGCCAGTCACGTATGTTGACCACCTTTGCATCTTCCGGCCTCAATCCATCTGCTAAAATTTCATGATCCAAGTACAGGATCTTGGTGCGACAAAACTCGCATTTATCCAAGTTCACCTTGTACTGGTGCTGTCTTAGGAGACCTAACACTGTTTTCAAGTGCTCAGCGTGCTCCTCTACAGTCCTACGAAAGATGAGAATATCGTCGAGGTACACAATGATAAACTTGTCAAAGCAGTCATGAAAAATCTTGTTCATCGTGTGCTGGAACGTACCAGGCGCATTGCATAGGCCAAACGACATCACCACAAACTCGTATAGACCGTACCTGGTCTGAAATGCGGTTTTATGCTGATCCTCAGGTCTAACAACAATTTGATGGTATCCGGATTTCAAATCTATCTTTGTGAAGTACCGACATCCCTGCACTCTATCCAAGAGGTCGTCAATGCGGGGTAGGGGCTCCGCGTTCTTAACGGTGATGGCATTGAGGCCCCTATAGTCAATGCACATCCTTAATGAACCTCCCTTCTTTGGGACAAATAACACTGGCGCACCGTAAGGGGAGGTACTAGGCCGTATCCATCCCTTCTCTGTGAGCTCCTTGAGTTGGCGGCGGAGCTCATCTAACTCCGCGGGAGACATCCTATAGATTCATCCTCTAGACACCTTACTACCTGGGACAATCTCTATCATGTACCACCTCCCTTTCCACCACGCCTGTGGGCTCCTCAAAAAGATCTGAATATTGTGCGACGACTCTTTCTATCTCTGGGGGTGTTTTAACGGCCTCCCCTTTCTCAGAGACAAAGACTAGATACATACCCTCCTCTCGATTCTGCTTACAGTAGTTATAGAAGGATGAGGCACAGATACACCTGTAGTTTTCTATTAGACTGCTAGCCTTATACTTCTGCAATCTAACAGTTCTACCATTGGGCAACTTGTGGATCAACACCTTTCTATCCCAGTCAAACTGAGGTTGCGAGACATCGAGGTAGTACATGCCGAGTAGCATATCGAATGGCAGTTCGTTGCTCACCAGGAAGGAGATCTTGTGGATCACTTCCCCTCCTCCATAAGAGAAGGAACAGGCTACGTCCTTGACATAGTCCTTTACAACCATTTGGTGCTTGTTGGCTAGCGTAGAAGCTACAGTTCTACATAACCGCTGCACTTGGTCCCCTAAGCGCAGTCTATCCATACAAGCACGACTGATGAAATTTCGTGTAGAGCCTATGTCTGCGAAGGCGCCAACCTTGCGGCCACCTACATCTACTTCTACCACAAAATGTTCACCCTTTGGACCTCTACTTATCATCGCCCAAGAGTCTCTGGGCTACTTCCCTGACCACTAAATCTGTAACTCTTCTAGGGCCTCAGACACATCTCTCGAACAGAGCGTCGGTGGGTCTGAATATGTCTGCGGGGCGATGTATGGGTCACTAGCCTTGGCCAACGCCTGAAGTGGGGAAGGCAACGTAACCACTTCAGCGCGAGTAAGAGCGGCTAACACTCCTACTGGCCCGAGGTGTTTCCCTGTGAGCTGGTCGCAGAAGCACTCCCAGGGTTCGAAGATTATCCCACCACCGTTGGTGAGGCTACCTTCGTGGTGACCTTCTTGCCGCGGCAAGTCCTGGACGTGTGGCCATAGTTGCCACAGTTTATGCATGTACCCCTAGCAACGGGGTCACACCACACCTCGTAATCCAAACAAATCTTCACCCATGCGGGTGTTCCTTGGTCTCCCTGACCCGTGGACCGTCCTACCTTCTTTTTCCGGGTCCCCCTAGCCTTTTCCTTGATGGGCGCCACGACTCCCCCATCCGAAGTCTCACTGGCCCCATCCTGCTCTATCAACTCCCCAAGGTCTGGGAAATCGTCAATTTCTGTCGTTTGACCATCGTGGTCAACGAATATTAACTGACCCTTCTTCTTCCAGTCTTGGGGTAGTCTCTTCCTACCATCGTGGGATGCCTTATGTACAAATCCCAGTTTTGCCTCTATGTCTAGAGCCTTCTTACTAAAAGAAGCGAAGGTGTGCTGTTCGACAGAGGCCTCGTCAACCAGCTTGGTCCTTACCTCTGCAGGTAGGCACCTTAAGTAATCCGTTAGAAAAACCTGCTGGTCAAAACGCACACCAGGTACCAGGAGTAGTCGCTCTACGGTATCCGTGAGCTCTCTAACATCCTTGAACCTACGGGCACAAAGATTGTTGATAGCATCGGTGGCCTTCTGAGCCCCTTGCGGGTCATGCCACCTGTTGTACACGGACCATACGAACTCTTCCAATGTCTGAGCGTGTGCCCAGGCATCGAAGTTTTAACCGTAGCCCTGCTGCTGCACTAAGCCATTCAACCAGCGGGCTGCTGACCCCTCTAAGAAGGAGGCGGCCACTACAACTTCTTGCTCTGGCCTTGTGAGCTTGTGCCTCACATAAGTAGGCACAGTCCTCACCCAGGTGTCCAAGTCCTCCTCCTTCTTCCTATCCCCAGAGAAGGGTTTGGGACTCATGAGAGTTATCTTAGGCATCCACTGCATAGGCTGCATGGGCCCACGAGCTTGCTGCAGCGGTTGCATAGCCACTGAAACAGGCTGTTGCACACTGACTTGGGCCTGGCTTGACAGTGGGACTGTAGTGACCACTTTCGTGGATGGTACTATTGAGACTCTATGAACCGGATCACTACCTGCTACTAAACCACCTGGAGGGGGCATGCCACCCCTGTGTGTTGTGGTATCGATGAAGGACCCGCACTCACAGGGGGAACTACAGCAAACTGTGGCTGCCTCACCGCTGTGCGAGGAGCCCGAAGTTCAGCCAGAATTTGTTTCTGGCTTGCCAACAAATCGGTCAGCAATTCCTGCTGGACGTTCTGCGCTTCAGCCACCGAAAGTAGAGCATTATGCAGCACACAGCCAATAGGGTATAATGTCGCTTCATCTAGTGCTTCCAGCCTGCCTAGCTCCTGCATTCTACTCCCTAACCTAACCTTCCTAAGTATAGCTGTTTTTTTCCTCTCTGCCGCATCGTCCAACTACCGCTGTAGCTCATCCTGAAGTTCTTCTGCTCGGCGGATTTCTAAATCCTCCGGCGTGAGTTGAGTTTGCTGGCTGACTCGCACGACAGCAATCTGACTAGTGGAAACCTGAGAACCACTCTGACTGACTCCTGACGAAGAGGACTGTGTAGAGACTTGCGACATGGCTGAGGTAGCCATGGTTGCGCCGGTACTAGCTGAGACTCTAGTCTAGGCACTATCCTCAGTTGCCCTCGCTCTCCTTGTCGCTGCCCTCTCTCGAGCCTCTCTAGTGTTTGCATCACTCCTAAGCTACAGTGTGTGTGATCTAAACTATAATCCACACTGAATCCTACCTTAGCCTGACACACAATCGATTATGAAAACACAACTAATTTCGGTAGGATGAAACAAAAAGAGTTAGGTGATATATTAACAACCAATGCCAGGTCCTACCGGATATATTAATTATATTTTTGGATTACCCTGGAACAGATTGCACTACAACAAAGATCTAATCTATCTGCAGTTGTCTGTCAGTTGTTTGCGCAGTCTGTCGCAACCAGATAATCAAAATAAAAATAACATCTCCTGTTGGAGATGTATACTGGATGGTAGATTGATAATTGATTGCCACTGTGAACAGTTAGTAATCCCCCCTCCCCCTGTATCCTTCTTGATTGGTCACTTTGTGTCAACGTTCATGAGCATCTGGTTGAGCAGCGTGTCTGAAGGTGTGCAATCTGGCCCACCCCTGTGCCCCAAGTCATTGCCGAACATGCCAGGCAGTCCACTTTTATTTACCCTCGTACGGAACGAGCCTTACACCCGGTTGATCTGGTTGATCAGGAGGAATTTTAGGAGAGCCCCCATCTCCTCAGGAATTATTTAATGTCGCAGTAAGGACGACGATCACAGCCAGATTCAATCCGAGTCCCTAACCAGAAATATTTATAGACGGTCTGGTAAGCGTCTCATAAAAGGTTGGCATGCCCGAGAAGTTCTCTATTGCGCAAGCAGCAGAACCAAGGACTTGCGGCCCAAGCATGCGTGTACTAGTCCCAGCGGGTTGGCATGGTGACCGTGACCCGAGTGCTTCATCCAGGGCCCTTCAGAGGCTTCGCCCGTCTCCCACCAGCTTGCTGCCCAGGAAGAATGTCGACTCTCAAGGTTGAGCGCTCGCGACACCTCACACTGAGAGGACCCTCAAGACAAAACTCACTTCCTCATGGTAAGAAGAGATGAAGAGGGTAGATAAGGAAGAGAGCAATGTACCTTATTAATGCTGCCCCCAACCACAAATTTCTCACCGGTAATCTGATGTGCAATTATGATCACCGGTCTTTGTCTCAGCACAACCAACAGCAGAATGCGGTTCCAGTTCGGCTTAATATGCCACATCAGCGAGTTCTCATCATCCAGCATACACCCCGTATATCACCACATAGCTCCCTGGCGCGCCCACTCTACCCTGGGCCGCCTAACGTTCAACACCAATGCCTTATCACTCACCTCATGCGAAGCACCAATAGCTATGGCGAAGAACCAATGAAGCGCAATATGAACCAGCTCCAGCTCCGATACCAAATTGCAAGGAAAATAAGCAACAGCGAGATGACAATCCCAGATCACAACATCACATTGAAAGCCAAATAGTCACACCATGTCTAGAGAGGAGCATTGCACCAATAATACACCAATGGAGGTTCGTAGCACTGAAAACCAATGTCCATGGAGAGCATACTCTCTCCTCTCAACACAAGAGTCCAGTTCCTTCACACTCACACTTGGCGCTCAGCGCCCAGCCTACTCCTACACAACTACTACAGACTACAGAAAGACAATGCAATTGTTGACATCAGCGGCAGCCCGAAGTACTTGAAGATGTCGCCCATGCAGACCATCGTCAATACAAGGTACGTGCCCTCACATCATCATCATCATCATCATCCTTCACCTATCCCTTGACTTCACCCACACCTGTCCTCTCCTTCACTCGAAGACCACCCCTGCGCCTCACTGTAGTCCAAGCCCACCAGCTATGGTGGCTGGGTTATGGCGCTGCCTTCAGCAGCGCCCTCCTCCTCTGCGCGACCGCACGTGCTGCACCGCGCCTCTCAGCGCTGGCAGCAGCCTACGAGCATGAGCTCCAGCAGCGCTGCTGCCAGCATGCGAGTGCCTGAATGAGGCAGTCAGGGCCGAGCTCTTTCCTTTATGGAAGAGTTGGCCTCCTCATGCAACTTGCTTGCCCTGGCCTGGGCCCAGAAGCTTCCGGAAGGCCCTTGGAGGCTGCCTGGATGCAGAAGCTACTGGGCTGCTGGGCCTCGTTCGGTTGGGTGCCCAACTGTCTTTGTATGAGGCTGCGAATCACGCCCAGGGCCTGCATTCTTTGGAAAGGCCCGGTAGGCCATGGAAATGTCTTTGTTGCTCTGCCTGTGTTGCTTTCAACCAACTGGCGCGTCGCAACTGCCTGGACCCCAAATATGAAATTGACAGTCGAGGGCCTCGTGCAAAAAGTCAGGCCCGCCTTCACTTACGGCGGGCACCTCCGCCTTCACTTAGGGCGGGTAAGGCTGCAAACAGGGCCCCATAGGCCTACCGAGGACCCTGATCCTCCCATAAATAATAAAAATTAAAAATTAAAAAAATTAAAAAGAAAATCCGGAAAAAAAAAAAAAAAGAATATATAAATAAATAAAAACAATAAACTAAAGTTATGAATATGGTAACTAAAAGCAAAAATAAGTATTGGATTAAAATACATATTCTTTTGCAAAACCGCCTAGTATAGATTAAGCAAGGCAACAACGTATCACGAATATGAATATTCAATTCTCGCAATGCAAAAAGGTTACGAGAACTATATACTTATAAACCAATCACTTAAATATACTGCACAAAAACAAATTAATTACAAATGTCGACTGACTAGTAATGAAGCAACTGTGCTACGCGCTGTACCCCACAAAAAACACCTCAAAAGCCCCCAAGAATAACGCATAACACACCACTAAGTACACTTACAGATAAAACAGCATACTAAACGAAAAACACGACGCGATTTACACTGAGAAAACCAATTAGAACCGAAGAATAGTACAACACTCCAGTACCACCCATCGTCAAATTTATTAAAACACCCCTTAAAAAAACATACACAACAAACCACTGAACATTGACCTACACATAAAAACCTAATACACATACACCCCCACTCATACATCGATACGACCACCCGCAAGTACAAACCCCTGATAACAATACCACCCAGTCGAGGGCGCTACATAAGGCAAACATTTCTTCCAAGAAAAACTAAGGGACGTGAATAATAATAAAAACCCGAACACATGCATAGACACGAAAATGAAGAAAAAGAAACAGATACGACAACAAAAAATGAAATGGCAAAGCAACACCCCGCAAAGAAAAACACACAAAAGAACAAAAACTCGTGAAGCATCCCCATGAAGATCGGCATCTGAAAACCAGGATTAAAAAAAACGACAAAAAAAATATGTCACTTTCTTTAAACAGCTAATTAGACTGCAACCCATCCAAAATACTGACCACCGCCGAGCTATGAAGTTTATCGGCTCGAAAGAAGAAGACAATAACATTATGCGGGAACTACAAAGCAAAGCAAATATGCCACTAAAGTTCAAAACTGTAATCACCCCACCTACGGCTAGACCCCGTAAATTGTACTACAACCGATCACACACAATCCTAACCTGTACACCTGCACAGACCCCTAAAACCTACCAAATACACCCTGTTTTACCAAACCAGAATGAATATCACCTTTCGGCTACCTAATTTTTTAATTAAAATAATTAAAAAAAAACAATAACGATTAAGCTATCTTATACACACGAACGCCACCATACCCATTACAAACCTCACATAACAAGATATAAAGAAGCCTGCCTGCATTACTATCTATAGCAGCTTGCCTATGACTACACCGGTCTACGGAGCATTCCGACTCATACTTGCTACGCATGCGAAGAACTTCCTCATCCCACCATCTTCTCCCACCTGCCTCTCCTCATCCCCCTCATACTACGCAACCAGGCGAGCTAACCGTCTGTCTGCGGCGGGCAAGGCACCTTCTTGGGCCGGCCAATCTGTGCTTCGACCAATGGAGCTCCTGATCCATAACTACGCCGAAGCTCGACAGCTATGGCAACTACGGCAACGACCGACTATGCCGCTTCTCCAGACATGACACTGCAGGTGCAGATCCTCTGTACCCTTACCCCTAATCGCCCATGTTGCGTATTCCCACGACCCCCTGACTACAACTCCCTACCACCCTTTGTGCTAATTGGAGCCTTGCTAACGACTAATCCGTCTGATGAGCTGCTATGGGTGCTAAGCGGAGAAAAGCGCGCTTTGGGGTGTGCACCCCCCCTATGGCTGGGTCCTCATACCCATTCCTAACCACTGCTAACTTACTAACTCTAACTTTGCTAACCTGCTCCCTATCTAACTTGTGCTTTGATGTATCATGTACCTAACTACCCCGCTTCCCCCCTTGCCTAACATTTGATGTAACGACAATGTCTAGTATCCCATTTTGGATGGGATGGTCGTGTTTTATACACACACCCCCTACACACACACACACACACACATTCACACACATATTAAAAGGCCCCGGAAAAAAAAAAACATATATTTTTTTTCCATTCCTTGATTGTTTCCTCAGGACAAAAAAAAAAAACGAAGAATACAAAGAACTGCCAACCAAAAATCCCCCCCCCCAAAAAAAACTCTTTTTAAAATTTATTTTTCAATTTTTTTTCTCCGCCTTTTCTGTTTTTTATTTTTAATAATTCTAAAAACTTATCTGTTTCTAAAAAAAACATATATGGGGTTGTAGGGATTAAAAATCCCTACAACGGTACAACCCCCTTTTTAAAGTTTTTTTTTTTTACCCATTATTTAATTCAGAAAAAATATAGTAAATTCGCGTCCGCGGCGCGGACGACGTCGGCCGCCATCTGAGCTCGACCCATCGGACGTGTCCGCGGTGTTTCATAGGATCCCCAGACTTACATAACCCGTCATCATAGCGTCCAATACATGTCGAACCCTATTTCTGCATATATATATGTACTCCTCTTATCTTTTTATTTGTTTTTTTTTTTCTCATCGGAACGAAGTCTCGACAATTTTTTTTTTTCAATCTCGAAACATTTTTTTAATTTCGCACCAGAGGTGTACAACATCGAAAACAACTTGTCACCGGATGTCACTTGTGTCTATCACACAACATTTTCGCGATCCAAGAACGAATGCCGCAGAAAACATCAAGGTTCACTACTGCGGGCACAACACGCCACCAACGGGCGTCGTTTGCAACGACATATCCACGCACTTGTAAACTCCGTTGCCAGGGACTTGAAACAAAAATTTTAGTGCAAGACGTGTTGGAAACATGTTGAAAATATGTTGATCACATGTTGAAAACATAATGGCACTATGTTGGCAAACGGTTGGAAACGTGCATCCGGCCCGTCTAAACGATTGGCCGAACCATTTCACCCTCTTCATACGCTGGTTCCAACTTGTGTGTAAGTTAAACCTATGATGAAAATTTCCCACATCTCTCTGTTGGGGCGGCGGACCTTGACCTGCGGTCCTTGAATGTAAACGGACTGGCCTCTTGCAAAACTGACAAGAAAAGCGCAATATGGGATTCGATGAGACAGGTAGTGGGAAGGGACTGGCCGGATGTAGTGTGCATTCCGGAAACTCATCTGATGGACTCTCCGGAACACAACCGCATTCATAAAATGATCTGGCCATACAAAGTCTTCAGAGCTCATGCCCCGAGACCTGGGAGTGCGGGGGTGGCGATTTGGATCCCCCCCTATTCCCGGGCAGACCCTATGCATTGGGTGTTGGACCATGAAGGGGGCAGATGGGTGTTAATTCTGGTCACTTTGGAGCTGGAGATCATACGTATTTTGTGCATTTATGCCCCTAACACTGTAAATGAGATAAAAACATTTTTTGATTAAATCAGAACACAGATTCCGGATGGAGTCCCTATCATTATAGCGGGGGACTGCAACGCAGCCCCGGACCGGTGAATGGATAGATGGAAGACCCCCTCCCCCGCCCAGATATATATAGAAGAAGATAAGCGGATGGTAAAAGATTTAAGTCTTTCATTAAATATCTTCGACTCCTTCCGAAAACTGAACTCCGACACGAGATTTTATTCTTGCCTACGTAAGACTGGGACCGACGATCAGTTGAGATCCAGGATTGACTTAATTTCTATCTCGGAGGACCTGGCCGGAGCATTGCTGTTGGCAGCAATACTACCGGTCAGTCATTATCCGGGTCTCGACCAGAAGATGTGCACAATGGTCTTATCATTTCGAAAGAAGCCTGACCACGACCCCGGTTTCTATAAACTTAACATATCCACCTTGCGTCGCGAATCGTTTCAAAGGTACATCACAAACTCC